ACAGCTCGTAAAAAACGCACAAAAAGGCAAAAAAACCAAGAGACAGGAAGCCCGCGAGCGGGAAAAACCGACCACCATATGCTCTCTACACACTGTTAAGATTTTTTTTAAGGATGTAATGAATTGCCCTATGCGTAGGTGTACCTTATCCAAACCCGACTTTTCTTCGAGGCTCTGGGTATCTGTTCTCGGGAGGTCGGCTCTCCAATTCGAAGGAGTGATCCGACGAAAGAGTACCGTAAGAGGAACGGAACGACCTGCTATATTCCCACAGTGGAAGTACGGCAAATGAGTTAAAACAAAAGGAAACAGTTAAGCTCAAAGTGAACAGCTCGTAATTTTAAGCGGCAATTGTAGAGAGCCTCAGAGCTCGCCCACTGTTGCAGCTATGCCCTGGGGCTCAGGTACGTTATTCCGATTCAGTTTGGCTTCTTTGGTTTTTAGTTTTGCGGCAGAATTCTCGTAGTATTACAGGGTGCAGCTAATCAACTTTTTAAAACTCCACGGGGAGATAAGCTGCCAGCGAAAATGCGGAAAATTTATAGAAAACTGCTTTCACTGCCGAATGTTTTGAATAACTATTAAATGTTTGCAAATTGGAAACGGAACGGAAGACTGGCACTGGAACAACGAAGAGGGCGCTCCCGGCGGATATACAAACGGACTCGTACGAGTACTCGAATGTATGTACATATATATGTACTGTGGCAGAGATAGAGCCGGAGGACAGAGGATAGACGACGGAGGATAGAGGTCAGAGGACGGAGGACGGAACAAGAAAAAGAAGTGCTGAGCTGTGCATAAAGCGCAGATAGACACGGAGATATCCGGCAACTGACATTCATTACGACATAAATTCGTTTAGTTGCTCGGACTGGGCTGGCACACAGGGAAAGTCGGAGATAAGACGACTACGTTTCTTCCTGATTTTGCTTACGGCTTACACAGGCCGTTGCCACAGCCGTGTGCTGCACGCAGAACAAACCTACACGGTTACGAAGTAGTTCTGCAAGGAAATACATTCCCTTGAGTTCAGACTGCCTGTTTGCATGCAAATAAATTAGCCAACTCATCTCCATCTCCTGGCCGACCATGCTGCAGGGACGTGGGTAGTTTAATATTTATAATATCGACACGATGTTACCAAAGGAAATGATTCAGCTGTATCAGATTTCAGAGCGACAATTTTGATATGTTTTTAGCTGCTCTACGCATCCTGCCGTTCCTTCTACGAGTAGGATGGGGATAGGGTGCGATTGATGTCCCTACAAATCACCACCGATTGAACCTGATTGAGCATCAAAAGTCCAAGTCCAAAAGGCAACCAGAGGCCGAAGACGGCCACTAAATTTGACAGCGAACGGGCGAATATTTTTCAATGCATTCGGAGCTTTAGATGTTTTGAGCTTCGTGTGTGGGGCGTGGGGTCGGATTTCAGGCACAGCCACTTTACTTGGGCAGGGACACACGTACATCCTCACGTCCTTAACGATGAAAACATTACACAGTTTTGCTTAATTGCCCACTTAAACGTCAGTTAAGCCATGCACATGCTCATGCACATACGTATGCGTATAGACGACGCACTTGACTCTCTCGTTCGCCCCCTTGAATCTACGCTCTGCGTTGCTTCATCGCCTGTCAACACTTCTCGTACTCGTACCCGTACTCGTACTCGCACTCACTCCCCTGTAGGAGTATTGCAACAACAATGACTTGAGTATTTTGTAAACAAATGAAACAATTAATTTGATTCCACTCTGTTTCAGCCAAATCCTATTAACTGCAACGTTAAAGAAATGTTTCTCTCCCCCTTTTCATGCCTTTGGGGTGTTGAGTGGGGGGTGGATGGGTCGGTAGGGGGGTAGGCGGGTAGGGGGGTAGGTTACAGTCTCCCTCGTATTCGTGTGTGTGCCGCTGCCACTTTCATGCATACTTAATTTGTCAGCTTGGCGCTGGTTTACACCCATTTTAGATACCGTTAACTAACTAACTGTTGCGTCCACCCTCTCCTTTCAGGGCAAGTGCTGGGAGGTCCTGGGGGACAGGCTGGCAGTTGACGTTGCCCTTTTAGTAGCGTCGGTGGAAGGTGGCGGAGACTCTCAGTCTAGGCCAAGGGATGGCACTGGCGTTGGAGTTGGGCCCTGCACAATTTATGGCCGCTCACATATGGCGCCCGCAAGGTGTGTTCATTTAAATTTTAGGACGGCTTAAGACAGGTCGAACCGTACCATCACCCTCTCACTACCCCCGAACACTACAGGTGAGTTATGCATTGAAATTTAAACTATGCATGTGCTCCCAGCCATAACGCTGGGCAGGGGGCACGTGGCACGGGGCAAGGACAGGAGGGTCTCGAAGGGACCACCTCGCGAGACTCCAATGTCAAAATTGAAGCAAGACTCTCGCGAAAGTTACTTCCTAGCTGACAGTACAGTACCTTGCTCGTGTGTGTGTTTTTGTGTGCGTTTGTTAGTGTGGTAATTAGAAAATTTTATGTGATTACTCTTTGTACACACACACACACATTGTCATAGTCGTAGAAGCCAAGTGGAGGGACGCTACAGACGGGTTGACAAAAAGAGCGACTCCATACAGTAGCCAACTGCGCCAATGAGGAGAAGCAAAGTACAAAAGCGCCTATTAGAATATTAATGGAATACTAAATACACGTATAACGTCAACATGTCTGCCATCCTACCGAACCAGACCCAGACCCAGACCCAAACCCAAACCCAGACCGCATCCCAATTCCTGTACTTGACAACCCAGTCTCCCTTCGAGAGATCCCCGCCACTCTGGATCTGCCACTGGCTCTGTATATGGAAAGATGGAAATATGGAAATGGAGCTGACTAGACTTAACGAAATCTATCTATTTGGAAGTGAAAGGTCCAGGCTAGGACAGTGTTCAATCTAACAGTTGGCGAGTCATAAATGGTGTCAATGACCTATCAAGGGCTGGGAAGCTGGATGGATACGAATCCAACTGACGAAATAGGCAAATACAGATGCTTTCATTCATACCGTGCAATGTGGAGAAGCTTTCAAATCAAATTGGCAGAGCGCGCGCGGTTACTTTCACTGCTGGCAAAGCTCTTTGGTCTGCCTGGTTGCCAAGCTCGTTTTTTCAGCTCAAAGCAATCCCTGTAGCATGGAACTTGGCTCACAGAATAACTCAATTTACTTGCACGAGCGCCGAGGCGAAGAGTCATCGGCTACTGTCGTCGTTCTCGTCGGAAACTCCCACAACGGCGACGAGACTACTACTACGATGATGACGAGAGCGAGGACGAGGACGAGGACTAGGACCACGACCACATCGTTTGTCCTGGCTGGGCATGCGGCGACTGTGTCCGCGTTGGCGTTGGCGTCCGTGTCACCGTCATTGCCATAGTCGTCGTAGTCGTAGTCGTTGTAGTGCTCGCTTAGACGCACCCACAAAGCACTTCAAGCGCTATTCAGTTCAATTGAAGTGGTGCTAGAAGGCGTTAACCAACGAGCACTCGGCTTGAGTCTTCGTTTGAGCGCTTTGCTGTAAAAAGTGCGCACAATCCCAGCCGTCGAATAAAAAATCCGTATGTCCAACCAATTGCAGGGACAAGGACTTTTCGCCAGCCCCTGTCGCCTGTGGCCTGTCGCCTGTCCCCCGTTCTTGAATTACTTCACATAGTTAGATGTATCTAATAAGTTCATATAATCCCAAAATATTTGTTATTTACTCATCATATATTTCTCTTTAAGTATCTTGCAGTGTTACAATACTATATATGGTATAATATTCATGTTTTTTTCCCTTATATTATCTAACTTATCAATTCTCTATAAGTATTGTATGTATAACATTACGTTTCCTAATCGTGCTAAAAAAAAATAGAACAACAAATTAAATTTAATGCCTTTCTAAAAGCATGCCATACACATTTATTTGTATCAGATATCTATTATATATATATTTATCAGTATATCAGTGTAGTCTTACACTTGAAAAATTCAACGGCAATTTCATATTTCAACTCTGTTCATATTCATATTCAGTTTATCTATATATATATTTTATGTTCATATTCAAACCCAGATTTATTCTTCATATTAATATCGCGATACTCATACGTATATGTATATTCTGTATATTCGTGATCGTATCATTAATATTTCATACACATGTATAGATATAATATAGCTCTTGCGATTCATTGGATGATATTTCATTGTCTTCGTATTGTGTGTTAATGCCAGTTGTGGTTGTCTTGGATTATTCATTTCACGGATAGTTGCCATAAAAACATACATATTAGTTCTTAGTTCTTAGTCGTTGTTAGTCGGGGTGTTAGCTACTTGAATGTCTCCATTAACGATCTGCTTAGAAAGAAATTGCCACGAAAGAAAAGTAGGACAGTTGGACAGAGTTCTATGTACACATCTTTTGGGCTAAATGCAAGGGAAAGGATAGGCTTACGTTTCTCGCAATGGATCTGTACAAACTAACAAAGTGAAGCGGATATTCCGAGATATATGTATCTGGTAATGGTCGCAACGGTCTAGGACCCATAATCTAATTAACACGACGGATCCTTTGACTACGACGACTTACACCAGAGTTAGGTAGGCACACATTTACAGGGGAAAAGCACATTTACACTGATCGTGTTGATTAATGAGCGGTATGGGGGCTTGCGGGGCTTGGACTTTTGGATTTCTAGGGGCTTCTAACCTTCGTCGACATTCACATCTACTACACATACATAAATACAGTTCTATCATATTCCTTACTAGATCTGATGACTCTGATGGGATGGCTCTTGAGTGCATATGTTCTACCTATTATATTTCTTGTATATTTACCGCCGTAATAGTTACTTCAATATATTTATATGTATATGTTTATGCATATGCATATGGATAAGTATGTAGGATATGCCTGTGTCTCTGAATTTGCTGTTTTATATACTAGTACACAACATCCAAGTGTCTAAGAAGCTCTTGATTTTGTTCTTCGAATACAGGTTCAATACTATGTTTAGTTGGTATGAACGATAATGAATGCAGGATCGTATGTATTGTATGTTCTCTAGGATTTTTCCAATATATATATATATACTTCACTTCACTTCACTTCAGTATCAGTTAGTTTTCAGTTAGCATTAGCAAATATTTGATATACATATGCCTGTTGTTTTCCGTATTTTTTCGCTCCGATTTTCCGCTCTCTGATTAAGTTTCGCCATCGGTATTGGTTGCCGATGGCCAGCGTTTGTTGCTGTGAGATCACCTGCAAACAGTGGAATCATCCCCGGCGCATATCGAGTGCGGGGCAGCCAGAAAGAGCTTGCCATTGGAGCAGGCACAGAGCTGGAAGACGCGATGCATATGCTCTCGACTCTGGGCAGAACCCATTATGGGTGGTTGGGCCGTGCGCAGATTGGGCATGAGGATTTTGGATGACTCCAGTCGCACCTGCAGCGCAATAGAATAGGATATAGAGAGGGACACGGTGATATATTGCAGTGTGCGACTCCATTCTGCAACTATAGTGCTAGAATTGTCCAATGCTTGGACTATTAATCATACTTACGCTTCCGTCCAGGGATCGCAACTTCACATCATTCAGGGCCACGAGATCAATGGCCCCGGCACGCGACTGCAAATTGATGTCCTTGGCTGCAGCCATCTTCAATTGACGCGTGGGTGACTCAAGTCTGTAATTAAATCAAACCATGAGCCACAGTGCCCCAACTAAGGGCCAGGACGAAATTCGGCAAAGGTCCCCGCCCGGGACGCGCGTCTGACTAATGGAACGGAAAGTCCCCCGCAATTGCGGCGGCAGCCAGCGGTCCGTGTAAATGGTGCTTTAAAAATATTGCAATTTCAATTTGGAGCCGCCTGCCCCCCACGCTGTATGGTCAAATGCAATATGCAACTCATACTCCGGTGTGTACTCGGCGCCAGACAATTTTAATTTTCATGAACCAACAGGCAGCTATCACCAAACTTGTCAATGAAAATGTTATTACAAGCGGCCGATCCTGTTAATGGCTCATATGTACATATGTACACACACGGGGCCGTCATAGATGGATGGGCCGTTTGTCGCATAATACGGAAGGCAGGCAGGAAGGCATGCAGGCAGATTCCACCTCATCCACTCCCATACCCCGTTCGTCAATCGAATTCCCAATCCCAAACCATCGGTCATGGCATGGCATGGGGCAGCGCTCTCCAAATAGGACCGGGGGAAAAAAACTGTTGAGGCCCCTTTAGCGCTTTTTAATTCAGTGCCAACGTTTGTATACATTCATACAAATGTGTATAAATATTTTCGCTACCAACTCCGCGCTCCGTGGGCTGCATGGCGACACCTTGCGGAGGGGGAGGCAGTGTGGGGCAGGTGTTGCAAGTGCAGGTTCAGGTGCAATGCATTGCGAACACCAAACAACCCGAACACAAACACAAGCACAAGCACCAACAGCCACACCAGCAGGTCCCACACTTGGCCGCGATTTGTGGGTGGGAGGGTGTTGCTGCGGGGAGGGTGATGACTGTTTTTGTTGTTACCGCAAAGGTGACGTTGACAGAGGCGCACGAGCGCAGCTGAGTGTTTGCTTATAATTTTTTATTTCTCAGATTTCCTTCAACCCCACGCCCGCCGACTAATATGCCACAGCATGTCCTCCCTTGTGGTCCTCAGAGCTCTGGGCTCCCCTGCCGGGCTATGAATTCCGGAAAATTTATTACAGTCATTGAATTTCAACACAGTACCGGACGGCGAATGGCTGCAGTAGATTGGCTTTCGATTTAATTTACTTTAATTGGTCCTGGTCCTGCTCCTGTTCCTTATTCCAGGTGGTTCGGTTCGCTCAATTTTCCGTTTTTTGCCGGGGAACCGTGTAGGGAGCCTCTTAGCCCCATGTCGAGATCGGTACAAATTCCCACCCTGGTCAGGAGTGTTGGTCTTGGTCTTGGTCTTGGTGTTGGTCTTGGTCTTGGTCCTGCACTGAGACTTACCTTAGCTCCCGTCCCGGCTCGGCACGCACATGTGGCGTCTGCACAGAGGCCCTGAAGACGGCGCCACCCTCACCGTCGATCCGCAGTGAGTGCGCACCGACTGTGACTTCTTTTCGATTTACGGAAAATAGGTTTCGTCCATTCGTATCGTTGATGCGAAATGTCGCCGCCAGGCACTCGAACTTATCGTGTCCCAGAAATAAATGATTCTCAATCATACCATTCGCGTCACGTGTATTGATTGAAAAATTACGTGATGATTCTGTTGATGGTAGCGACGATGGGACCCGTGGAGGCAGCGCGTTGGAGAAAATGAAATGAGAAACAGAGAGATGTGACCTGAGATGAGACACAGAGACTAAGGTTGGATGAAGGATGTTTGATTTTGGGAGAATTAGCAATTAATCTAAAGGTATGTATGACAAATGCTGGTAATTTGATCGGTAATTGCAATATAAATAAGCTAACACAACAGACAGACTATTTTGCATTAAATCCGCATTCACACACACACACTCATGGACATGGAAGTGCGTAGTTAAGATAGCACGTAATAAGATAGCGGATACGGAAATCAAATTTCAGACCTCTCCCCCACGCCATTGTCTCAGGTCGCGGTTGCTCAGCCATTGCCATTGCTATCAGCAATCAGCCAGCAGGCACCATCTACCTGGCCGGCTGTCTTCTACTATCATGACCCATCACCCATTCGCCATTCGCCATTCGCCATTTCGCCATCTACAAACTATGTAGCATTCAGTGTCCCCACTTCCGTGTGCGTGTCTGCGGTTGTTGCTTATCGCTGCGGGAAATGCTTTGCCTTTACGTCTCTCTTCTTTTTGAAAGCATTTTGCTCGTCGACACATGGACACGGAGGTCCCTTGGAAATCGCATCCGTCTTCTTTGGTCTGGTCGTGCTTTCATATGGGTTATCTGTAATTGTACATCTTGGTCCCATCAGCTGCTCCTGCTGCTTCAGCTGCTTTCGCTGCTTGAACTGCTTTCGCTGCTTTAGCTGCTTGAGGAGGACCAGGACCAGGACCAGTAGCCGCGATCTCATTTGTGGGCGCTTACTCGTACGACTAGTCGTGCAACCAACAATGTTGATATCTGTTGATTTATGCCTTGACTGGCAACGGCACACATTTGTCGTAGTCCGTGCTCTGGCCATACCAGCCACACATCTCAGTCCCGTCTAATGTCCGTGCCCGTGTCCGTATCCGTATCAATGTTTAATCGCAAGGCAGTTGTCGTTGCGTTGCCCTTAAGCAGAGGTAAACACACCACCTCCTCCTGAGTCTGCATAAAAGCGATGAGAGCGCAGTTCATTAAACATGCGCCAAATGCCATTCAGCCAGTCATCAGAGAAGCGAGTGCAACATACCCGAAGACTATAACAAAGCGCAACAGAGCGCGGTCACTACCATGACTTTGAAATTTGCACTGGGAAGGTCAGACAGTGGTGACAACGCGACATCGGCGACCCCCATCGGTGTGCTCCCCACAGACGTCTCTATGGTAAAGATAACACCTATGGCCTATGTGCCTAATGGAGTAGGAGCTTGCATGAATTGTTAAAATTTATGAAATGAATATTAATAGGCTTCGGCGTCGCAGTGAGCGAGTGATGGAAAGATGCGAATGGGAAGTGGAATGGGAATGGGAAGGGGAATGGGAATGAGTGGCTGGGGAAAGGGTGCTGTTTCTGTTGTGTGTCTGTTTATGACGTTGTATGTTTGCATCTAATCGCTCAATAATCAATGCCCCGTGGGTAGGGTAGAGCAGCGAGGTTCACACTCACCTATGGATATGGGATGGCCAGGCCTCGAACGGATTGTTGATGTTCGTAGCATGTCCATAATTATCGCTGTTCCCGACAGCTGTATGCCACCGGGTAAGATTTTCAGTTGTCCCATGCCCTCCTGAAATCGATGAAATTTTATCAATTAATAGTGTGGAGGGAGTGTGGCATGTAGCCGTACGCCGCGTTTACCAATGAGAACTGCATCACTTTGATTATCCAGAGGGTGAGCACCAGATTTGTGACAATGAGCAGCATCAGCAGCAGCAACAGCGTGTACAGGCACTTCTTGCGCCATCCGATGAGGCCCAGGTATGTCTCAATTCCGCCCGCGAATCCGTCTACGTTGCACTGACCAGCTGTCCTCGGTCCACCGCCGGCTCCTGCGCCAGTTACAGCACCGCCCCGACCACTTCTGCCGCCCCGTCCATGCCCATGCCCATGCCCCCGGCCATGTCCATGGCTATGGCTATGGCTATGGACGTGACTGAGCGTGGCTTTGCCTGGCGTCGCTGTTACTGTCGTCATGGTGCCCACCTTTGAGGCCGATTGGATGTTTGCAGCTCCAATCCCACTTCCGCTTCCGCTTCCGCTTGCTCTGCTGTTGCCAGCTGTCATTAGGCCAAGATTGTTGCCAGCTTTGCTCGGCTTCTTGGGCGTTGTCCCAGTCGATAATCGCTTCTGCCGCTTCGGCTGTTGCTGCTGCTGCTGTCTGCTACCTTCTCCGGAACCGGAACACACTTTAAGGTGCCGCGTAGTTGTCTCCACGCTGCCGTCACCCGACATTGCTGATTGTTTGCACCGCCACTACTGCGATTTGCTTAGCCTTGCTCTGAATTCTTTCATCATTTGGACGTTTTCCTTGACTTTTGAGTTTCACTTTTAGCTGTTCTTTCCTCGCCAAGCGGAACACTTTCAGGGTTGTCAATGTCTGCGCGTGATCTGCGTTCATAAAGCGAAAGAGAGAGAAAGGTTTGAGTATTCCCTCTTCCCTCTCACGATCGATGAGAGCAATGATCCAAAGTTTTCCCTGTGAATCCTGTTAACCCCTCCCAACTGAGTGGTCCAATCATATAGAGAAGTACATGCCTCGCTTGTAATGGACATGGGCATTTTTTGTATGGGCAACCATAAATCTGCAATTGCAAGAGTAATATGTGGCCATTCCTTTATGGAGCCCCGGCAGATGAGCTGCGGCAAGCAGAGGATAGGGAGGATGGATGTGAGGAAGAGCATTAAAATATGTAACAGGCTGTTGCAACAGCCTTCACTGTTGCAAGCCTCGCCTGGCATTACAGTCGAGCTCCAGCTACAGCTACAGCTACAGCTGCAACTGCGGCAGTTGATGACTTTAGTGGTGCCAGCTGTTGGCGACTTCACACGTGCAGCTTCTTAATTATGCATGTCTACAGCTGCAGCGTACACCTGTATATATGTATGTATGCACCAGCAACAGTGCAATAGTGCAACAGTGCCACAGAGAGTGTGTGGATTGTGGGTCTGCATGATGCATTTACATGCATGAGCTATGGAGAGCTATGGAGCTGACGCCACGCTCGGTCTGGGTCTGGGTCTGTGCGGGGTCTGTGCGGGGTCTGTGCGGGGTCTGTGCGGGGTCTGGGTATATATTTATTAAACCATTCTGTCAAAAGAAATCATAATAAATACAATAAAAAGTCATAAATGAATAAATTATAAACTTTTTTGCTCATGAGGCTCATAAATAAATAAATAAGTAATTCTAGAGTTGCGAGTAAATTATTTTCCGGCTCTCAAACGGCATGGCATACATGCCACATACAGTTGCAATCACACTCTGTGGCTGAGTACCAGTCAGAATGGAACTGAGAATGCCTGATACTCATACTACTCGGCCCCAGGTGCGTACCCAGGTGCGTTTGCTCGAATAGTACAAACGCTGATCATGATTTTGGAATTGTCAACTATCTAAAATTAGGACTGTCGTCTCTCAGCTTCCATCTCTCCGCCTCCCAGCCTCTTTGCTCCTCTGCTCCCGGTCTAGTCTTTCGCAATGCCATTTTGACAATCAAGCCGAATGGAGGAATGGGCAATGAAATACATTTTGCGCGCGCTCAATAAAAGTTTATAAATAAATGTATAGATAATTCTTGTTTCAGCGAAACTTATTTTTATTCATTTCGTAAGTACATGAAGCGCTCTCTGCCATGAATGATGGTCTCAGTCAGTTCCATATTTTTGGGTCGAAGGCCTATTTGTAGATCACTGGGAATTTCCTTGGCCGTAAATATTTTTTACGATCTATTCTCATCTAGTCCCCCTGTACCGCTGCTTAGAGAAGACCACGAATGAAGAATAAAGTGGACCTCTGTACACAATCTCTCAGTCTACCCATGACCATGGTCTGCTAATTGTTTATGTTTATCATAATGTTTATACAGTCTGCGGCGGCAATTACTTCAATTGTTTATGGACCATTTTAGTGCATTCTAAGTGGTAAACAGAGCCGACCAGGCACCCTAACCGAATTGATAATTATAATCGAGGCAATTAAACTTGGGGATTTGTGATCTTCAGAGATGTGTATTCATTGCTGCTCACTTGGCCATGGGAATCGCTAGATTCGATGGAGTCTATGGAAAATGTGTTCATATGCGGCTTGAATCAGTTCCAAATTTGTAATCTTCCCGTTAAGGACAAAAGGATTAAGAGTTAGCGGAATCAGAGACTGAACAGTCTGAACAGCCTGAACTGTGGAGTGTTCGAATATCCGGAATATCCGGCAATCAAATAAAAATAAATTCATTTAAATTGCGAACCACAAAGAACACACAGAATACACAGAACACACAGAACAACTAAAGGGAAATTTTTGGTGTTTTTCTGACCAAAGAGTAAAGGGAAGATAAAATGGAAAGGTTGAAACCTGCGAGTGAGCAAGGGAATGGATTATTTTAAATGCATTTGATACATTTTCCGCACTGAAGGGATTCCGCACCCCTCTACCCTGCCATCCACCAAGCAATTAAGATGAGAAGCATATGCCCATTTATTCCAAAAATTATTTCCTGCTTAAAGTTTCTTGTAATTTAATGCAGCCATCCCAAGTTCAAGCCCAAGCCCAAGCCCAGGCCACAGATGCAAATAGTAGTTGCCGGAAAAGGACCAATTCCATTTCCATTCTGCATGCAGCCTACAATCTGAAAAAGTCCACAGACCCCAAAATAGGATAGGGGGCAGGGTACCAGGGTACCAGGGTACCAAGGATCGTGCTCCGTGAGTTGTTCAAAGGACTTTAAGTTGATTTAGTATCTGCAGACAGTTGGTCGGTTATTACACGCACCCAAATGGCGGGATCAGGATATGCCGTATGCCGTATGCCGTATGCCGTATGCCGTATGCCGGAACGAAGATGGTGACGACGATGGAACTACGAGAGTGGAGAGTGCGATATATAATTCCATTGGAGTTGCAGGGGCACCAGCATCACGTACGCCACGTTACACATACAGTTGCCGCTTACAGTTACTTAATTTGGATGCTTCCGCTTTTGCTTTTTACGCTGGAGCAGCTGGGAAGTTCTCCTGTTCTCTGTTTTTACACGCTTTTTACGGTGTTAGTACCCGTGCATAAGTTCGCCGCTGCACATTTTTCCGTTTACATTGTGAAAGTCATAGGAAATAACTGTCCAAGTCGTGCGTACTCAAGATATACTACTATAAACTACGGGTATGTGTAGAGTGCCATAGAAAGTGGCGCAGCTCATAAGAAAAGAGGATAAGGGATCGTATCTGATATGTTTGCGGATATAAGTGCATTGACAAATCGAACTGCCCAGCATGCCCCGGAAAACGCAGTTAATCCAGGCACAAGGACATCTGGCTAAAGTGGCATCTGTATGCGTACAGTGGATTTATGTAGTGTGCGGACGTGTGGACCCCCTCGGAAACGGCAACTTATGAAGTTGCTTAAAAGTCCTTGGCAGTGGGTAATTAAAAGCGAAATGGGCTTATTTCGAGCCATGCCCTGGCGACAGCCTTCCCAGTCCCAGTCCCAGTCCCCGTCTCTGTCTATGTCTCTGTCCACATTCGGACCAGACCATACCGAACCGGGCCGGACCGCTGGATTCGGGTTCGCTGTCGGCAAGGATGTCAGAGATAGAAACAGGTGCGGGCCGGCCCCCATACCGAGGCGGTCCGAGACTTGGTTTGACTCGTTTATAGAAATAAACTCGTAAATGGAAAGTATTGCATTGTCCTGCTATTAAGTTATCAACAACGACGGGGACCCAAAACATAGACGCAGAATGAAACACGGACACAGACATGGACACAGATGGAGGCCCACATATATGCATATGTGACCAGCCAAAGGGTTGTACTAGCTCGACTCTATTGAGGTTGTGCCGGCTGTGCTGGGTCACGTTCCGGACTAGGGCATGGGCATGGGCATGGGCCCTAATACTGGCCGAGGACCTGGTCCTAGTCGTAGTCGTAGTCGTGGTCGTGGTTGTGGAATAATGCTCCAGCTCCAGCTCTGACTCCGGCTCCAACTCCGACTCCGACTCCGAGTCTGGCATACAGCAGTTTCATATTTCGTTACAATTTCATGTTGTGTTTCGGGTGGAAGGTGGTTGTAGTTGCCACATTTAATGGCGCTCGTACGTTTTTGGTAAGCACTGGCAAACCAGAGCAGACAACACTTGTTGTCATTGTTGTACGTATGTATATTGTTATGTCCTTGTTGCCGCCTGCAGGACATTTTTATTCCAATCATGCGTAAGTGCCGTAGGGACGCTAAAACCTTAAATTTCCAGCCCCCACCCCACACATGTGAAAGTACGTAAACTAATATCTTTCACTCCTCTACAAGCCCTTGGCTATGGCCTATGGCCTAGCCATTACAGTGGTATACAAACGCTGTTGTGCAAAAACTATTGCAGATCACTGTAGATCACTGCAGTCTATGTGGTCCTACCATCTTATGGAGATCTTAAACATTCACAGCTCGCTTGAAAAGTGTTCCAGTTGCTTTTTTCCGCGGACTAGCACCATTTATAGCATGCTTCATAGCGAAAAGTTTGTAGATCAGTTATCACTGATATCTTAGTTTCTGCACCCATTTCGAAAGCACAAAATTAGGCTAACATAAATACGTAAATAAATGTTTTACTTCAATTCAATGTAGAATGGAAGAAAAGAGCAATTAATCTTTTTTTTTTTTTAGAGGCACTGAGAAGAATAAATGCCCCCCCAGCAGGGACTATGACATACGTAATATGCGTAATACTTATATACTCAAGGAGAGCCCCGATCTTCGATCTCTGACCTTCACAATTTCAAAGAGAAACACTGCTGATCAGCACTAGTCACAATGGGAAAACTCAGATCTCACGACACGTCACAGATAGCACCGAGGCACCGAGGCACCAAACACAAAACATAAAGCACAGAAAAAGAGCACAGACACTTACAAACAATTATTGTTTTTTGAAACCGCTGTGGGCAGTCTTCAGAATAAATCTTTGGGAAACTAGAAATTGGTCTTTGTGGATTTTTACGCCAAAATGCCGCTGCCGTATGCGCGTACGGGGTACCGTACTCGTACACGCTTGCACAACAACTGATGGCAGAATCAGTTTGCCGGAATGTTAGCCATTCCGTCCGTTTAAGATACGGTGTAGCAGCGGCAGCCAGTCGCCGCTGTTTCTGCTGCCGCCGGTGGCTGATGTTCGGGTCCATAAAGCTTTTGCCGAACAACCTTCCAAAGTTTCACTCAAACATGGGTTGGCTGTGGCAAGTAGCTCGTTTCTCGTATCTCGGTTGCTCGGTTGCTCGTCCCCGGCCACGGCCTCGTCTTTGCTCGGGACCACTCGACCCGACCGAGTGGCACGGCCCCCTCAGGTTTGTTTACGTTTTCCGTACCGAGCACATGGCTCAGGTGCCCGATGGATGCATGCAACACGTGGGTGGTACTACCCGTACTATGCCCACGTGTTGCTATTTATAATAATAGGCTGCTTTGCCAGCTCCCCTGTGGCTGGATTCGACCATATGTAGATACCTCTTCTTCGAGCACCAGTATTCCTTCCTTGACCGAAAATAGGCATACGGCCATATCTGCATCTGAATTTGCATCTGGATGTGCATCTGGATCTGGATCTGGATCTGGATCTGGATGGGACTTCCCCTTCCGAACTGGAATTGAAATATGTACATAAGTATGGTCTGCTGCACCGATTTCACATGTTGTGGCCATCCATTGGCATATCTGCTTGCGCTATTTCGTTAACTCCTTAAGCTCCATTTGAGTGGGCCCGGATATACATACGTATAACTCTGCTCCGCTCCACTCCACTCCAAGCCGGGTATGGACGGGTGTGTGGGTATGAGGAAAACTTGATTAAAGTTTCGCCAGAATGCGTAAATTATTCATTGTGCTCTTATTCTCGCATGTGTATGGGGGAGAGTGGGTGTAATAAGCCTTCGGTTTGTACACTCAGCCATGGGATTCAAAAAGGAGGAGTGTGCTTGGGATGGCTTTTGCTCTTTTCTACTTTTCTAACTTGGACTGCCCGCCCCCCGCTTTCATTCTCTTCCCATTCCCATTCCTATGCCCCTACCCATGCCCATGTGTATTTATAAATTAAAAGCGTGTTCATCTTTGGCCAAAGTTCATAATTTTTGCGCCTTCATTAGGAACATGCTCGCAGGGGCAGAGACCGCCTGCCATGACAGCCACACACACACACACACACACGCCCTCTTACTCATACTCATACCCATACTCATACCCCATATATATGTATGTATGTACACACTTATGTATGGGGTCCTGGTCCTTCTAATTGTCTTTGCCAACAGCTGCTGCTCGCAGGCGCGCTGGTCGTCGTCGTCGTCGTCGTTTCCGTTGAGAAGGAGGAGGGTCAGGTGCGGAACAGCGTCCAGGCGGGTCTCGGGTCTCGGGCCACGGTCCTAAAATCGTTCCCAACGGATCTGGCGACGCAACTTCTGCCGCAAATGTATTTGGGCGATCTCAGGACACACATCCTAAGTACGCTCCTCGCTTTCCTGCTGGCCTGCTTTCCGACCTCGATGCTTGGCAACAAACATTGGGCAAAAAACAAAAACGCTGGACGTATTCGTACCGCCCAGCCCTACCACTTGTCTTTGACGTTGTGTATTGTTAAAAGCTGCGGCCACTTTTTCCAGCTGCTCTGCACGTCCCTGCATATGTGGAAATGTGTTGGTGTGTGTGGGTGGTGCCCCAAAATGCTTTTGTAGTGCTCTCCACACGTTTCCAAGAAGGAACATCGCAGTCAAAGTCACAGTCGAAGTCGCACCCGCTGGCAGTCATTGTGGAAATTTAAGTTGGTACGCCCCAAATGCCGTCGAACCCCCACTCTATTCCTCAGTCCCCACCACACCCCCATTCCATGCCTTAAAACGCTGCAACCACTGTAAACCTACCTTACCCCGACGCCACACCACCCACACATGTTAATTGTTCTCCAAAACGGGGGCACGGGTGCCAGGATTTGGTTCGTTGGAACAGTTGTCGTCCCCCTCACTATGTCGCCTGTCCTTTTATGAATTTATAATTTTAAAACTTGTTTTCAACTGGATTTGGCTCTTGGATTTGGCAGCAGAATGCCCCAACTGGAAAAATAATGAGGCAGCCCCTGCCACATACCCAAAGTATTTATAAGATGACGCCCCACACTTTGCCACTGGCAGTTCGGCACTGCTATTGTTGATCATGCTCTATGTGTATTGTGGACCAATTCCCCATTATTCTTGATGCACTCCTACATTTTCCAGCAGGAAGGACTCTAGATCATGCTACTCTGAAGCTACATTTTTTAGGGAACTCGATTGGCATACCTTTTTTTTAAATCTAAGAGTAGCTATTCGATTGTAAGAGATTTTTTCTCTGGGTTCTCCCGGTTCTCCTACCTTCCACTTTGGCTGGGATCCAATTCTGGAGAACTAATCCGGAGAACTGCGGCACTTGCACTATTATTTTAGGTCTCTCTCTTTTATTGGCAATTTCTGTCTTCCATCAATTGGTTAACACACAAGATGAAATATATTGTCAAATAAATGTCAAATTATTAAGGTGAAATCATGCGTTGTTAACAATCGTATAGCTTAAGAGAACTGGACGTGATATGCACACCTTGCGTAGGATATGCCCACATGGCGGGGCAATGAAGCATCGATCTATGAGCTCGTCCTTGCACACGCTGCGGTTTGACTCTCTTTTTCCAGCAGCTGTTTCTTAGGATCACCGCCGGATTCCGTAGCTCGGTGGATGCCAATGCTGCAGTAGTTGGATCCTTCTGTGTTGGATCGTCATTTGTGTCATTCGATGATCAGGATAGTTTGCTGGTTTCCCATTTCGACAAACACAAGAAAAGGCTTTTTAAGCCAAAAAAAAATAGTTAGCACTGCACTTTTTTCTATTAAATTAAAGAATATTGTTGATTCAATGGATATTGACTAGAATATTCCTTTGCGACGGTTTGAAACTCATCTTTCTTTTTGTCAGTATTTGATTATATGCTTTTGTTAGGCAAGGGCAGCGCCTCTACTTTTATAACCTTTACTCAGATGGTATATATGTAATTTTAGCATTTCGCTCACCTCCGCCAAGGGAAACACGCTGCACGAGGAAGATTGTGTGAAAAAGAGGGCATGAGTAAGCTCGTGGAAGGCGTTGCGTAACGATTGAAATTTCCATTCTGATTCTGGTCGGAAACGATTCCTTCTGTTTGTTAAACACATCCACTTCCAATCCAAAACTAACATATCCCTAAACTCTTCGAGTACCGGGTATACCAAAAAGCTTATTAGATCCAATAATTGCGAATATCTTCCTAATAAGGTATTGTATATTTCTGGATGATACAGCATTTCAGCAGTCACTGCAGAAGATCCTTTTCGGATCGCATTTTCCTTATGGTGACGGAAGGGACGTTTGTATGATGCCGTTTTTGTACTTATTATGTCAATTACGAATGTAAAAACAAGCAGGAACTTTGTGAGTCGCAGCTAGGGCCGTAAGTCTCCATTTATGCCCGATTTATGAGCGCACACTGCACGAGGAAGAGTGTGTGAAAGAGAGAGGCAGAGAGAATGAGTAAGCGCGTGGAAGGCTTGGCGTAGCCACTGCAAATTGTTTCGTTCATTCTGGCTATTCAGATCCATCCAATCTGATCCAGATTCGACAATCTGGTAGAGAGTCATTCTCTTTAGTTCTTCGTTCAAAATAGTGGATTCCACCGATGTTCGTCGGAACGGAAGGGGGCGGTGTGAAATTAGGAAAACACTTGTAACAGTGTGATATGACAGGGGCCTGGATTCGTGAATTGCGTCAAGCGACGTACGTAATTGCGACGTACGGGCAGAGGGACAGACAGACATGGCTATATCGACTCGGCTATTGAGTCTAGTATAGGGAATGAAAGGAAAACGATGCAGCTTTTAAGACACACGGACCGGCTGAAAAAAAGACTGTCTGAATACAAGGTGCATTACAGTGATCCTCATGAAAAAGAGCCAAAAAAGGGTCAAAATATACAGTGTCTGCGATTGCCAAACTATTGTTTGCCGCAGGTATTCCCCTGATTGGACACATACGAGTACATATGTTCATTTGTTGGTGTTCGAAGGACCGAATGCAGAGCAAATATTCGTGCGTCACTTGTGTCCTGCATATTCACACCCAGCATATGTATAGTAGTATCTGCTGTGTTGTAGCTGGAATACGGTCTCCTGTCTCCGGGAGCCCATGTGGACGTGGACGCCGGCAACGAGACCGGATACACGATGTTGTGGCTGGCGTGGCTCGGAGTTGTGCAAACAACCATAAATAAAGCAAGCAATCAAACATACTGTTGTCCTCTGATTATCCTAATTTGTATGCCAGAATTTGACACATGACAATTGACACTGGTTACAATAGTAACAACATCAACGGCAATAGCAACAGCAACAGCAACAACGCAAACTTGCGCACATATTTGGCAATCATTTATTTTAGGGCCAATTGAATTTTAAGTAGTCAAACATGCATATGACATACCAACGAAGGACCACACAGGTCCGTACGTACACACATTTACGCATGACAATGCATTGCAACATACAAGCATACACATGCGAGTATTTGCGTGTAGTTGTGTGCACACATTTCAATGTCTGTGTATGCGGCCTCTCGATAAAAATGCTTCACTGCAGCTATGGCTTCCGCCCCCCGTCCCCCATCACCAGCAATAATTCGTTCAAAACACAGCCATAAATATGACTGCTAGAATTCATTGAATGGTTCTCTTTCATTGTTCCTTGCTATTGGGAAACGAAAATTAATTGGTTAAAGTAGTTGGCTTTAATGTCGAGTAGAAGTAGGGCTTGAACTTTGCCCCTTTGTTCTGACCCCACCCATCACGAGTGGACACGAGTGTCGTGCGAGTGTCATCGCAGATTAATACTTGAATTGATGGGGGAGACTTCGGCAGTTTTATTATCATGGCCACTAGTCACGAAGGAGCTCACTCGATGTTACCTCCAATAGGTTTTTGCTGAAATTTCAGCTGTCTAGCTGCAGTCCAGGAGCCCTGTCAACGGCAAGCAAAGAGC